TGTAGATCTGTTTTGCAATATACAACAAATATTATGTCTTTGATGCTCATAATCTATCTGACCTCAGTCAACACTGCTCAAATGGTCTTGGAAAGACTCCTGCTTCTCGACTACAGTATAGCTACCTGGCAACCAACTTCACATGTTCGTCCGGCTGACCAATATATTGCAATCGGTCATTCGGTATGAACATCTCGTCCGTTCTGCTAAACAGTTCCTAATTTACACCCGTGCACGTCTGCCAGTAAGATCGGTCAATGAGTTCAGCACATCACCTTATAACTTGCATAGAGCTTACCACTACTGTACAATTTGTCTCCGCTACCGCTCTTACTTTGCGTCTTCCTCCTTTCCCGTGGTCTCTGTGTCCCATAAGTTGAATTCAGATCCAGCCCCTTGCCTTCAGGTCCTGCATAGTGTCAGCGAGACATTCCTTGATAGATCTGTACTTAAGGTCAAGCAGCTTTCCGGCCTTGGTCGTGTCGAAAACAATGTAATGCGTCGTCTTGGCCGGGTCGTAGGACTCATCACCGGCAGGAATGTCGGCACCAAGCTCGCGTGCAACGTTGACTGAACGAGTATAAGCATAGCGTTTCGTTGAAGATTCCAAAGGGACCTACCCCAGTCCTGCCACTTCCAAGGGCCTTCGGAGACGATAATACGCTCTCCGCCAGCCTCTGGTCGTTTGATGGCGAGAACATGTGCCTCTGCCAGATCCCGCACATCGACCCAGGACGATCTGACAATCCCGCATGAGTTTGGCACGTAATCGTAACCGGACGAGGCTCACCCGATGGTCGATAGCTGCTTTGCATTTTTGGATCCCTTGAATATGCTGTAGAACCAGTCGTGCATGCTCTCGTTCAGCGCCTCCGCAGCGCTCACCTCGTGGATCGTGGGCCCAAAGACATAGGGTGGGTTGAGCACCACGAGGTCCCAGGTGAGCTTGTCCTTATTCTTCTCGACGAACTCCCACGCGGCCTTCTCCGCGAGAGTCTTGCTCGCGCGATATTTCGCTGGCTGCGTGGCTGCACGGCCCTTCTCTCGCACCTCCGCAATAGCAGCGTTGTTCCAGTCTACCTCGGAGAAGACGCGCGGAGCCTCCTGGGCCTCCATCACGGAGGCGCAGGAGGAGGTGACGACGATGCGCTTGACCGCGGTACCGTATGCGAGCGCAGACTCAAGCACGCGCGTCGTGCCGTGAACGGCGGGGACTATGAGTTCGTCCGGGTCGTCTGCCTTGAAGTGGAATGGGGACGCAGTGTGCTCGATGGCATCGACGCCCTTGACTGCCTCGTCGAATGCACCCGCCTAGCCGGACGCGGGTGAGGCCGCGTCGGGAATTGGTGGGTATATGCGCACCTTTGTAATGTCCTCGACGATGACAACCTCGAGCTTGTCGCCGTAGGAAGCGAACACCTCCTTCAGGTGTCTTGCTTTGCCTTCAGAACGCACAGTCCCTCGCACGGCGTAGCCTTGTTCGAGGAGCGTGCGTACGACCCACAGGGCGATGAAGCCATTGGCACCAGTAACGAGGACTTTGCCCGAGGTCGCTGTGGGCATGATGATCTGCGGTTCTGGAAAGCGGTGGCTGTGGTGGAATGGGGGAGGAACGGATGACCCTCGGGGATAGATCCTCGCTTTACATAGTAGTCCGTTTGTTTGTCAGACTCATCGGCGTTCGCGTGGATCGAGTGTCGATAACAAGAGACTGACGTTCGACATCTGTGCCGATAAGTTTTGTGAGAATCAATTGAGATAACGTTCGTTGATTCTCCAGGAATACACCGGATTGCGGTTTATTCTGGCACGAAGGGGTGTTCTGCTGATACCGCTGTGTATCAGTGAAGCAAAGTCCTAGAGCTTGAAGAAAATTGAGTCGGCCACATAGTGATCAGGTACGGATATCCAAGACTTTCAGGAGCGACCGTGATAGAACTTTATTAGGAGGAGGTCCGACGAGTATTCTGTTGCCAGTACATCATCATATGTATTCATAATCCTCATCAAGGGCCATTATCCTTTTCCTCCTCACGTGCACGAACACTGTTCCGACGTTCCAGCCTGAGCTCGACCCCTCCAAGTCCATTTCACTAATCTAGAACACCTTCCGAGCACAGCTCAAAGTAACTCACAGGCTTCGCGATGGGTGACCACCTTCTGGCGTACATGCACGCGGGAGGCGAATAAACTTTTCTAGATAGATCATACCACTCCAGTGTCATTGTTCAGACCGTTGTGATTTTTTGTGTAGTGATCTTGCAAGGTCATTTGCGAGTCAATTGTGTAGTGCGCTGATACTTGTGCTTTATGTTTCGGGTTCTAATCGCGCAATACAGGTTCAACCACTGGTAGCATTATTTTCTGGTATGCAAGTATGATCAGAGCTGCCAGCGCTCGAATCATCCAGATATTCGAATGGCTCGTGACGGTGTTTTTGAGATGCTGTGTAGAAAATAAGTCATTTCATAAGGAACTCCTGATCATTTTCGTTCATGCACCTGCCATTTTGTTTTGTTTTGAGAACGTTTGGCTGGACTGATCAAGGGACCCTCCAAATACGCCGCACCCGCGTTCATCTGAAACATTCATTTGGGTGCAGGAGGGTAGCTGTGCTGCTCGTGTTATTCTTGCCTTACCTATTCACGAGTGCCAAATCTAGGTCGAATAACTATGTAGCATGCAGCTGCTTAATCACAAGTGTCGCTGAACCTCGCGGTCGCGGCAATTGCAGAAACAGGCTCCTCTTGCAATCAATAGTATTGGAATCAATCATCATGCGTGTATACTGGAGAGCTAGGGAAGTACGTTGCGCTTTTCTTAGGGCTTGAATTTCGTTCTGTTCACTTTGTAG